AACTCTTTCTTGGGGCTCTTGCCCTCTCCCTCCAGGACCACAGAGGTGCCAGGGTATGTCTTCCTAGACTTGTTCCGAAATATTAGTAAAACGAGAGACATTTAGGTAGAAAGAAAATGGAATTACAAAATTTAACCCGGTCTAAACACTAAAGGAACTAGAGTCAACTGTTTCTTTTATTTACCAAAAATCACCAGAAAATGCTGAAAGTTTCATATATGACATAAGAAAAAGTATAAAGGCAAGAAAGCCCCAGGTCTTGTTCTTTACCCTCTGGAGTTACAACGCATTGCCTACACAATGGTGAAGTACTCTGGCCCTCTGTCTGTCTTCCTTTCCTCTTTTATACAAGAACACTGCATGGGATTTGGGTTCCACAATCAGTTATGCCACCTAAATACCACCCAATTTTTTTTTTTTTTTGGATGACACGATAACCGTAGAACTATCTGGAGTTATTTCTAAAGATGTGAACTGACACTCAAGGAACACAGGAACACTTCGGCATCTGCTAATTCATGTAAAGCTTTCATACGAGGTAGTTTCACCATAGAAATAATATTCAAAACAATCTACACGGACTTGGGAATGAGAGCTTATAAATCTAGCTACCTAACCAGTAGTTTCCCCTCATTTCACTCTCCACATTAATGTGTGGGTTCCCGTAACCCCTTTATTTTCCTCCCTTATTTTTAAAACATTGCTTAAGGCCAGAAGAGAACTGGAAGTGAGTATGTGCATACACAGATAAGAACAAGCATGGTTCTATACCTAGCATGAACGTTTCACTAGAAATAGAGTTTTTGTATTCTGCTTCTCCGGCCATCACAACTGGAAGGTTATAGAATATTCTATTTCAGGACATCTTTCAAAATGAGGAGCCCGTTTAAAAGTACTGCAGCATGTTATTTTGATTTCTGCCACGGAATGAATCACTCCTGAATGCAAACACCAGCAAAGAATGCGTTAGAGGATCCGCCATCATATTAAAAATTAAATCTGGCTGCATTTCATAATGGGCTTTCCTTTTTAAAGCACGGCTTCATCTTTTCACTATGGAAATTGTGTCCCAATGGCTCTTCTTTATGGTTAACACTGAGGCAGTGGCTGAGGTCAGAGCTCTGCTTCTCTGAACAGGGAACCACAAATGTCACTGACACATGGTACCCTTGGCAAATAATATATTTCTTTCCCATCTCCTGTGTCTTCAGCTTGCCTAACGTCATGCTTGTGGTAAACTGAAGAGTTTATTTCTCGGGTCTTCGTTCCTTTGGTGGGAGCAGCAGGAGGCATGCAATCTACAATGGATTCCGAAGTGCACCTCTTCTGATTTTTGTTGTCGTCTTTATTTTAACCTCCAAGAAGAGAGCTTTAACTCAGTCTTCACCCCAGGCTAAGCTAATACTTAGGTCATGTCTGAGCTCTCTGGGGAACCCTCGCTTTATACCATCGGAGGAGCGATGGTGTCTTTTCACGTGGAGCAGCACAGCTGCCCAGCCATATGGGCCCCAAACAGCCCAGTCAATCGGATTTGGGGAGGTTTTACAATGTAATTTCTTAACGTGTTAGTATTTGGGGTGAGTTTGATCAGGAGCATGGACAGCTCTTAAGCCCAAGGGTTTAGGTTTTAAGAAGCCATCACAAATGTTCCAGCATCTGATCAGACTGGTTAAAAACAGATAGGAAATCTGTGGCTGGGGGAGGGGAACGGACTCCTGCCCCCTGGTCCGAGAGAGCCTCCGGGGTATGCTCTAACTATTAATTCAGCATCAGCTGCCCTTTTTTTTTTTTTTTTTTTTTTTTTTTTTTTTTTTTTCCTGGGGCTTTTTTTTTTTTCGTTTCCCATTTAAGGCGTTCCCACTCAGGCCTGCAGAGCCTGTTACAAAACCATCTCTCTGCTCCCCTCCCCCCCAACCCCATGCCGCAAGATGAGAGCGCAAATACCCTGCATTGCAGCGAGCGCGCCGGAAGGCCTGCATTGAAGCCGGCCTCAGGCTAAACAAAACCCGGCCTTTAAGAAAAACCAAGGGAAGGGCTACAGCGCTAGGTCGTTGTCCTTCAGTCCAGACCTCCTGGGTCCCAGCAGCCCCATCCCTTCCTGTACAAGGGGTTCAGAAAGTATCTGCCAAAGGAATGCTTAGTGAATAGAAAGCAAGTAGTCCTGAATCTAAAAGCCTTGACAAAATGGTGGAAGCCTTGAGTCCAACCACCGCCACTAGTTTTCTCCATCAGAAAAGTATTTTAGTTTGAGAGGAACGTTGGCAGAATAGTTACGTTTTCCCCGGAAAGAGAACTCAGCTGATGGCTTTCTTCCCCCCACCCCACCCCCAACTAGCAACTGCCTTGAGGAATTAAAAATCGACTGTGGGGATGTTTTCTTTCTCCTGCTCCATCTCCCTCTCACCTAGCCAAAGCTTTCTGCTGCTTGGAATTTACAAAAACTATTTTCTAAGCTTCAAGTAGGAGGTTGGTTGGAAACAAAAAGGCAGGACCGAGAGGTTTTTGAGATCCCTAGTCTTCATTTGGGGCAGACAGCATTGACGAGAACCCCGATGGCCCTATGGTGAGAAGGGCAGCAGCCGAGGTCACCGTTTATTGCGCCCGCTACGCT